CATCTGAAGAAACTAATCAGGAAGGAGGGCTCTGGGTAATATGCTCAATCCTCATTCAGAAAGGCAAAGAGGATGGACATCCGAAGAGGGAGAAAACAGGGAACAGGACAGGAGCCTGCCACAGAGGGCCTGTAAAAGACTCTACCATGCAGGGTATCAGAGAAGATGCTGAGACTTATAGCCAAACTTTGAGCAGAGCCCAGAGAATCTTATGAAAGAAGTGGGAAACAGTAAGACCTGGAGAGGACAGGAGCTCCAAAAGGAGAGAAACAGAACTAAAAATCTGGGCACAGGAGTCTTTTCTGAGACTGATACTGTAACCAAGTACCATTCATGGAGATAAGCTAGAACCCCTGCACAGATGTAGCCCATGGCAGTTCAGTGTCCAGGTGAGTTCCATAGTAATGGGAACAGGGACTGTCTCTGACATGAACTGATTGGCCTGCTCTTTGATCACCTCCCCCTAATGGGGAGCAGCCTTACTAGGCCACAGAGGAAGACAATGCAGCCACTCCTGATGAGACCTGATAGAAGGAATGGGAGGAAGACCTCCCCTATCAGTGGACTTGGGGAGGGGCATAGGTGGAGAAGAGGGAGGGAGGGTGAGATTGGGAAGCGAGGAGGGAAGGAGCTACGGGTAGGATACAAAGTGAATAAATTGTAATTAATAAAAATATAAATAATAAAGAAAACAGAAAAGAAAATAAAAAGACCATCTACCAAGTAGCTTAATGAACTGAAGTGGCCATTTTGGATCCCCCAACAGAGGGCCTAGTAGCATACATGTCAAGCACAGCGACTTGCTGCCAAACTACATTGGCCATTTTAAACATTACTTGCCTTATATTCCTGATTAATTTTCAATTTGGGTGTGAATGTCTTTTGGGGGAGGCTTAAATATTTTTCTTTATTCTTTAAAAGTTTCCTACATACATACACTCTCTGTTGACCGCATTCATCTCTATTCATTCCCAAACATCTTGCAACACAATTACATGCAAGGGGTATTTGACCAAATTGTGATGAAGTATTTTGAGCATTTTTATTACATTGATGACTTTAAAATAATGAGCTTAGTGTCTTGTGCTGTACTTTGTGCATTGTTTTCAGTGCCAAGCTGAGTCTTTCATGGCACAATCTCAGCAAACAGGTATCTGGTAAAATAAAAATTCTGTTCTCTCAGTACTCAGTACTCCACTCATAGAGCGAAGATGCCATGTTAGAATATCAGGAGATGCTGCACAAGATATCATAATATGTCCTTGCTGATGACTGTGTTTGGTACAGTTAGGCACTTGTTTCAGAGTGGGGGTTTATTAGCTGTTTTTTTTAGCTTTCATAGTACTGGAAGTTGCTGTGCCCTCTATTGTAGGAGAAAAGAACACAATTACACACTCTGAACAACAAAAAGGACTGGGCTGACGGTGGCCTGAAATAGTAGGAAAAATGTATCATAGGTAACCCTCTGCATTATGATAGGATTATAGGTCCACTTGCTGAAATGTAGACTATACTGAGAACTGAGAACCTGGGGCTATCCAGCCATTAGGCCATAAGGGAGAATATCATACTTTTCTGCTGTGAAATGATAATTTGATAAGATCTCTCCCCACATTATCTCATTACACTGATCTTTTTTCTTTTATTAATTTATTTTTAAACTTTTATTAATTACACTTTATTCACTTTGTATTTCCCCGTAAACCTCTCACTCCTCTCCTCCTTTTTTATATTAATATTTTTTATTTTTAAATAATTTTATACATTCACTTGTATCCCAGCTCTAGCCCACTCCTTCTTTCCCTCCCAATCTTCCCCTCCCTCCCTTATCTCCTCCCTGCCCCCTTCTGAGTCCACTGAGAGGGGGTGTCCTCCTCTCCTTCCGTCTGGCCCAAGCTTATCAGGTATCTTCAGGATGGTTGCAATGTACTTATCTATGGCCTAGCAAGGCTGCTCCTCCCTAAGGGGAGAGGGGAGGCTCATGAGTTCATGTCAGAAACAATTCCTGTCCCCCTTTCTAGGGAACCCACTTGGATACTGAACTACCATGGGCTATGTCTGAGCAGGGGTTGTAGGTGATATCCATGCATGGTCCTTGGTTGGATAAACAGTCTCATAGAAGACCCCTGTGCTCAGATATATTTGGACTTTATGGGGCTCCCTGTTCCCTCTAGAATATACTAATTCCTCCTTCCTTCATATGATTCCCTACACTCTGACAAAGGTTTAGTTATGGGTCTCAGCATCTGCTTTGGTACACTGCTAGGTAGAGTCTTTCAGGTGCCTTCTGTGGTAGGCTACTGTCCTGTTACTTGTTTTCTCCTCTTTCCAATGTCCATCCTCTTTGTCTTTCTAGATGAGGATTTATCATCTTACTCCTGGACCTCTTTCTTGTTTATTTTCTTTAGGTGTACATATTTTAGTATGTTTATCCTATCTTATAGGTCTATATAAATGAGTATATACCATGTGTGTCTTTCTGCTTTTGAGATACCTCACTCAGGATGTTTCTTTTCTAGATCCCACCATTTGCCTGCAAAATTCAAGATTTCCTTGTTTTTAATTGCTCAGTAGTATTCCATTGTGTAAAAGTACCACAATTTCTGTATCCATTCCTCTGTTGATGGACATCTGGGTTGTTTCCAGGTTCTGGCTATTATGAATAAGGTTGCCACAAACATGGTTGAACAAATGTCCTTGTTGTGTACTTGAACATCTTTTGGATATATGCCTAGGAGTGGTATAGCTGGATCTTGAGGAAGCACTATTCCTAATTGTCTGAGAAAGCGCCAGATTGATTTCCATAGTTGGTTGTACCAGTTTACATTCCCACTAGCAATGGAGGTGGGTTCCCCTTTCTCCACAACCTCTCCAGCATTCGTTATTTCTTGAGTTTTTGATTTTAACCATTCTGATGGGTGTAAGGTGAAATCTCAGGTTCATTTTGATTTGCATCTCTCTGATGGCTGGGGATGTTGAACATCTCCTTATGTGATTCTCTGCCATTCTGTGTTCTTCAACAGAGAATTCTCTGTTTAGCGACATACCCCATTTTTTTAATTGGGTTACTTGGATTATTGCCTTTTAACTTCTTCAGTTATTTATATATTCCATATATCAGCCCTCTGTCAGATGTTGGGTTGGTGAAGATCCTTTCCTTATTCTGTAGGCTGTCGTTTTGTTCTAATGATAGTGTCTTTTGCTTTACAGAAGCTTTACAGTTTCATGAGGTCCCATTTATTGGTTGTTGCTCTTAGGTCCTCCCCCTTCTTCACGCATGCCCTTCCCGAAGTCCATTGATAGGGAGGTCACTCTCTCCTTCCTTCTGATTTTAGTCTATCAGATCTCATCAGGAGTGGCTGCATTGTCATCTTCTGTGGCTAGGAAGAAGTCAAATTATCGCTATTTGCAGATGATATGATAGTATACCTGAGTTACCCCAAAAATTCTACCAGGGAACTCCTACAGCTGATAAACACCTTCAGCAAAGTGGTTGAATACAAAATTATCTGACCAAAAAAAAAATATCAGTAGCCCTCCTGTATACAAAAGACAAAAGGGCTGAGAAAGGAATAGGGAAACAACACCCTTCACAATAGCCAGAAATGACAAAGTACCTCGGTGTAACCCTAACCACGCAAGGCAAAGACTTGTATGAAAAAACTTCAAGTCTCTGAAGAAAGAACTAGAAGAAGATATCAGAAGATGGAAAGATCTCCCATGTTCATGGCTTGGCAGGATTAACATAGTAAAAATGGCCATCTTACCAAAAGCAACCTACAGATTCAGTGCAATTCCCATCAAATTACCAACACAATTCTTTACAGACCTGGAAAGAACAATTCTCAACTTCACATGGAATAACAAGAAACCCAGAATGACTAAAACAATTCTCTACAATAAAAGATCTTCTGGAGGTATCTCCATCCCTGATCTTAAGCTGTACTATAGAGCAACAGTTATAAAAACTGCATGGTACTGGCATAGAAACAGAATGGTGAATCAATGGAATCGAACAGAAGACCCAGAAATAAACCCAAACATTTATGGATGCCTGATCTTTGACAAAGATGCCAAAACCATACAATGGAGAAAAGGTAGCATCTTCAACAAATGGTGCTGGTCCAACTGGATGTCTACATGTAGAAAAATGCAAATAGAACCATACTTATCACCCTGCACAAAACTGAAGTTCAAGTGGATCAAAGACCTTAACATAAAACCAGACACATTAAATCGATTAGAAGAAAAAGTGGGGAAGACCCAAGAACTCATTGGTACAGGAGACAACTTCCTGAACAGAACACCAACAGCATAGGCTCTAAGAGCAACAATCAATAAATGGGACCTCATGAAGCTGTAAAGCTTCTGTAAAGAAAAGGACACCATCATGAAAACAAAACGAATGCCTACAGATTGGGAAAGAATCTTCACTAACCCTTTATCTAACAGAGGGCTAATATTCAGAATATATAAAGAACTAAAGAAGTTAAAAACCAGCAAATCAAGCAATCCGATTAAAAAAATGGGGTACAGAACTAAACAGAGAAGTCTCAGTAGAGGAATACAGAATGGCAGAGAAACACTTAAAGAAATGCTCAACATCCTTAGCCCTCAGAGAGATGCAAATCAAAACGACCCTGAGATTTCACTTTACACCCATCAGAATGGCCAAGATAAAAAACTCAAGTGACAACACATGCTGGAGAGGTTGTGGAAAAGGGGGAACCCTCCTCCACTGCTGGTGGGAATGTAAACTTGTACAACTACTCTGAAAATCAATCTGGCACTTTCTCAGACAACTAGGAATAGTGCTTCCTCAAGATCCAGCTATACCACTCCTAGGCATATATCCAAAAGAGGCTCAAGTACACAATAAGGACATTTGCTCAACCATGTTTGTGGCAGCTGTATTTACACTGATCTTTTGAATGACACAAATTACACAAATCTTATATCTTCATCAATAAGAAAGTATAATTTACAGTTGTATTACTAGATTATAGTATTTTTAGATTTCTTATCCAGGTAAAGCAGAATCTAGAAACAGTGAAATCACAATACATCACAAATGGGCCTAATGTAGGAAAACACAGAGAAATGATGGGTGTGATATTCATTATCCACCAACTTGGATTATGTGAAAGAGCAATGTAGCCTTGTAAGATGGAAGAGAATGTATAAAAAGAGAGAAAGGTGCAAACCAGAACCACGATGGTCTTTGTGGCTCTGTTTTCAGGGGAAGTTTTGCAGGAAGTATGCGTGCTGAGGATGTGTTGAACTCTCTTCTTGTGTCTATAAAGCATCATAATCATGAAAGTGCTGGAACATACAATGAGAAAAGAAAATAGGACTTCAGGAAGTACACAAAATGCTGTGAACAATGAGTCTACTATATTTTCAGGGCCCGAAGAGTAGCAGATTTGAAAATCTCTCTTTTGTGTCTTATTTTTGCTATTCCTCTTAGTAGATATATACACAGGGAAAGTAATATTTAATAGCATGTATAAGATCCAGAAGAGTGAAATGGACAGGTCAGTGAACTTTGTAGTTTTGATTTTAAATTCATTACAGCACAAGTTCCTGGGGCTGATGGTGATTGCCTGAAAGACACTCAAGAGACAGGTGATGGTGATGGACATATTCCTACCAAGTCTATAAACATATAAAATAAACTTGCACCCAACATCACTGAAGAACTGATTCAACCCAATAGCTCTCATTATATGAGGGAGTCCATTGGAGAGAATGATCAGTGAGTTGGATGTGAACACATGTATCAGAATAATATCTTTGATCTTTAATGTGCGTTTATTGTAGTAAAGAATTAAATAGTAGAAAAGAAGGGAAAAGTTTCCCAGAAGACCTAGAGCACTCTGAAGTGAGAGTGTTATTACTATCACTATGTTTCCAAAGTCCATTCTGTCATTCAGCAATTATTTTTCCTTTAAATTCCAGCAACATCATGTCTCTGATCCAAAGCATGTATTGAAGTTTTCTAGGATGGGACGTATGTGTGCAAGAATCACTCTACTGCAGCTTTTCAAGCCAAGATGTACAACATAGGAAGAATCTGTTTCAAAACAAACATTTTATCATCATCAATAACTTTCAGTGAAATTGTTGGAGTCTATAAACGCACATATTCATGGATAGAACTTCCACTACATTTTGTAGATATGTAAGTGTAGAGAACATGGGTGCTTCACCCAGTGAGAAGCAATGGTTAGTGACTTCAAATGGAATTCATGCTGACTGCTAACTTTAGAATGAAGAGCTGATTATAAGTCACATTCAAAAAAATAGAAACATTCTTCATTAAGCAGTGTAGAAAACTGTAATGATAACTTCATGTTAAAAACTGAACAGATTACACTGAAAAAGAGTTCAAATAAAATCTCACCCAAAACCCCCTCATACATATGACACGCACATGCTTACTCTTTTGAACTTAGATATTAGCAAGGAGCCACAGATAATGTATCACCAAATTGAATTCTCACCAAATGAAAATAGGTGATTAAAAGCAATAGCATAATTACAGTTTATTCACCTTGTATCCCAGCTGTAGTTCCCTCTCTCCTCCCCTCCCAATCCCACACTTTTTCCCTCATCTTCTCCTATGCCCCTCTCCAAGTCCACAGATAGGGAGTTAATTAATATAAAAATTTAATTAAAAAACCCAACAGAATATTGTACAGAAAGAAAACCACAAAATTATGTTGAGTTGGTAAATGGGAAGAATGTATAGTGTTCTTCTGAGATCTACTGTTTAGTGTCATCATACAGTTACAAAAATGTAATGGAAAGATCAAATAGGAGATAACAGCTTTTAAGAATGAGAATAAGGCACGAATTTTATGAATTGTTGATGGTGTTCCCATGGTTGGAAATTGTTGACAAAATTCTCTGTGATTATGTCTTCAACGACAAAGTTCACAATGTATAAACAATCAGTAGTTTGTAACTACTTTTCTGATTTTTTAAGTCATTGTGACAGTTTCTAATGACTATTTGTCTTCATAATGAAGGTACACAGTGGAACCACATTTATTATATCAATTTAAATCAAGTATGTTCAATAATGTGTTTCTTTTTAAGTTTTGAATGTGATTAAGAGAATTCCTAATGTTTAATTGAACAGAAATGACAATCATTCTATAGTATTCTCCATATGACTCTTAATTCACTTAAACATTTACATGGACATTGACATTCCTACCATTACCAAGAAAAGGACAGAGAAAGACTTATAAATGATTATCTAAACTTAAAAGTTTTTTTGGGGCAATTTGGAGCTTTGAAAAAAGACTGACTCCTAACACAGACTGGCACATAATTTTGTGCGCAATGATGTATGTCAACCACATTTTAAAATGTTCAAATGATATGCAATTTAAGTCTACCACATCCTAAATTCCTGGCATCCAACAAAAAGTGTTCTTTATACAGTCTAAATCAACCAAAACAGCCTCTGTCCAAGTTAGGTTTGATAAGTGCAACATAAACCTAAGATTTATTTTGAATCACATATATTTTAACGTTTCAGGCAAGAAAACATAGTATCTCTCAAAATAAAAAATTTAACAGAATTACTTTTATGTGTATTGTTGAAGAGTCATAATCAGATATGAAACATGAAAACTAGCACACAAAATAATATCATGGAATAGAAATGAAGTCATTAGCTGCTAAATCACTTGTATTTCAGGTGTAAAGACCTATCCACAGCTCAAATGAATAAACAGCTGGTGTGTGGTTATACAATCATTAGGATACCATTTCTTTTATTTTTTTGTGATTATAATAGAATTGCATCCTTTTGCTTTCCCTTTCTTTCCTTCTTCCCTCCAAACTCATCAATACATCCTTTTTCTTTTAAATCTTTGTCCTGTTTTTCAATTGTGTGTGTGTGTTTGTGTTTCCATGGCTGAACATCTTTACCAGACAACCACAGCCAATAAATTTCAGAGTCCTCCCTCCTTCCCTCCCTCCTCCCTCCCTCCCTCAATCCCTCCCAGTCTTAACTATACAAGCCTTGCACGTAAAATCACAGAGTGTGTTTCAGAAGAGGTGGCAGAAAGATTTAAAAAAAAAGAAAAAGAAGAAATTTGCTATTGAGTTCCTGTCAGAAATAGTCCCTGTTCCCCTTACTAGGGAAAACTAATAGGTTACTGAGCTACCACGGGCTACATCTGAGCAGAGGTTCTAGGTTATATCCACACATGGTCCTTGGTGGAGTATCAGTCTCAGAAAAGACCCCTGTGCCCAGATATATTTGGTCCTTGTGGAGCATTCATATCCTCTCCACGTCATACTAACTCCCCCTTCTTTCATATGATTCCCTGTACTCTGCCGAAGGTTTCGTTGTGAGTCTTAACAGGCTGTTTGACGTCCCCACACCACAAGGGAGGAGCAGTCCTGCTAGGCCACAGAGGAGGACTTTGCAGCCAGTCCTGAAGATACCTGATAAAACAGGGTCAGATGAAAGGGGATGAGGTCCCCCCCCTATCAGTGGACTTGGAAAGGGGCAGGGAGGAGATGAGGGAGCTAGGGTGGGATAGGGAGGGAATGAGGGAGCAGGATACAGCTGGGATACAGAGTTAATAAAATGTAACTAATAATAAAAATAAAAAATATTAAAAAAAGAGAACAAAGAAGAAATTTGCTGTGAGATTGTGTTTCCAAGGAATGTTAGTGGCTATACCCACAAAATCTGCCCAATATGACTGTAAACATCAGATGGACAGGAACAACAATATACATGTTAATGTATACACTTTTGATATAAGCACTGGAAATGCAGACACAGGAAGTAACTTGGGATCACTCACCAGCCAGACTAGTGTACTTAGCGTTTCAGGAAAGTGAGAAATCCTGTGTGAAAGAGAAGCAAAACTGAACTTAACCTATGTAAGGAAGACCAACTGAAGTTGTCCTTGGACTCCTTAAGCTCCATGAAGGGAGACTGTACCTGAACTCACAGTGTAACTGGCCTCAGTTACCCATTCACAAACAAACAGAGCCCAAAGAATTAAAATCTTTAACACTGGACTGTAAGGCCTGTATTTGTGAATCCCCATGTTTAGAAAAACTTTGCAAAAAAGAATTTTCAATGACATTTAAATACAAGACATGAGTAGGTATATTCTTATGTATTATGTAAATTTAAATGAAAACATGTAGTGTATTCACTGTCCAGACTTAAGCACTTACATTTTTTGTTGCTCTTCCATAAAGTTTGAAAAAGTCTTTACCTGGCTCCTTCCTTATGCAGAATGTTGAGCTCTATGTGCAGTTCCCCACATAACAGCCACCTGTGGAAAAGGGAAGGGGAAAAGTCTGGAAATAAAGGTTCATAGCTCTGTGACCTCACCTCCCTTAGATTCACAATCTTCATCTCACCTCCACTCTCAGTGACAGAATTTCCTTTGGGAGTCAAGCACAGGCTTGAGACTATTATTCCTGTTGCTAATCACCAAAGCCTTTTTGGTGATTTTGTGAGTCTCCAGGGACACAGCATGTTTGGGGAGACACTCATCATTTCATGGTTATTGCAGGATGACAAAATGGGAATTGATGGAAACATCAGAATTAGTTTTTTGAGTCTTGTTAAACTGTCTGTAAGTTTAGTTAAACTTCAGCTTTCCCTGGGCTCCTTTACACAAAATCAGTTATAAATTTTCAGATCATAGTGCTGCCCCATGCTAGAGCGCTCAGCAGAGCAGAGTCAATAAGGAATTCATGGTTAGTTAGTAAAGTGTCAGTAAGAGAAAATCATGACATCATCATCTGCAATAGAAACTATTTCCCTCTGTGTTTATAGAATCACCTAAAATGAATATATTTAAATGTTATAAGAAAAATTAGAAAAGTCACCTCAGCAATGACAGAAATTCTGAACACAGCCCTACTTCTAGAAGATTATATGTCTCTAACTATAACATTCTTCAAGCCTACACACACATGGAAACTGAACAACTTGTTACTAAATGACAGCTGGGTCAGGGAAGAAATAAAGACAGAAATTAAAGCCTTTCTAGAACTCAATGAAAATGAAGACACAACATACCCAAACTTGTGGGACACAATGAAAGCAGTGCTAAGAGGAAAGTTCATAGCACTAAGTGCCTTCAAGAAGAAATTTGAGACAGCTCATTCAAGCAACTTAATGGCCCACTTAAAAACCCTAGAAAAAGAAGAAGCAGACACACCAAAAAGGAGTAGACGGCTGGAAATAATCAAACTCAGGGCTGAAATCAATCAATTAGAAACAAATAAAACAATTCAAAGAATCCATGAAACCAAGAGCTGGTTCTTTGAGAAAATCAACAAGATCGACAAACCCTTAGCCAAGCTAACTAAAAGGCAGAGAGACACCACCCAAATCAACAAAATCAGACATGAAAAGGGGGACATAACTACAGACACTGAGGAAATCCAAACAATCATTAGGACTTACTTCAAAAGTCTATACTCAACAAAATTTGAAAACCTAAATGAAATGGACAATTTTCTTGATCGATTTCACTTACCAAAGCTGAATCAGGACCAGGTAAATAAATTAAATAGTCCTATATCCCCCAAGGAAATAGAAGCAGTCATCAAAAGTCTCCCATCCAAAAAAAGCCCAGGACCAGATGGCTTCAGCGCAGAATTCTACCAGACCTTCAAAGAAGAGCTAACTCCAATTCTCTTCAAACTATTCCACAAAATAGAAACAGAAGGAACATTACCAAACTCATTCTATGAAGCCACAATCACCTTGGTACCTAAACCTCACAAAGACCCAAGAAAGAAAGAGAATTTCAGGCCAAACTCCCTTATGAACATTGATGCAAAAATACTTAACAAAATACTTGCAAACCGAATCCAAGAACACATCAAAGATATTATCCACTATGACCAAGTAGGCTTCATCCCAGATATGCAGGGGTGGTTCAATATACGGAAATCCATCAACGTAATCCACCATATTAACAAACTGAAAGAAAAAA